ATATAAATGATAAAATAAAATGAAAAGATAAGATAAATATTCTAAAAAGAAAAAGATAATAATAAAAATAAATGAAATTTGTTGCTAAATTATTTCTGAAGCATTTTTAAATTATTATTAAATTATTTGTAAACTATTATTAATTTTAAGGCTAATTATTCATTAATGATCTTAAAGCATTACAAAAATATTGCAAGAATATTACAAAAATATTGTTGAATTGTGATTAAATTTATAACTGATATATTAATTATATTATTTAAAATCATATATCTTCTAAAAATTAATTAATTGATCAAATTTTTTAAGTTTGAAAAATTATAAAATTAAAGAAATTTATATTACTATAGTAATAATAATAATTGAAATAAATCTAGAATAATAGAATTTTGAATTTTTTCTTCTGACTCTTTTTCTCTTATATTTCTTGATTAAACTAGAATTATACTTCTTTTATATAAATTAATAAAAAAAATATTAAATATTAAAACTAAAGTAAATAATAATAAAATTAATATAAGAGTTCTAACTAGAATATTAATTAAAATATCAGTTCTTAATTATTAGATATAGTATGATATTTATTAATTAAAGATGATAATTTTCTTATATAAATTATGAATAATATTAACTATTTAAATAGAGATATAAAATAAGTATTTTTGAAACTAAAATTATAATTGATATTTTACTGATGAGATATTTTTCTTTTCCTATATCTATTATAAATAAACTATTAATTAATTAATTAAAGATATTATTATTTTAATTAATTATAACTTGCAATAGTCAATCAGAAAATTATGATTAATTATAATAATTAATCAGAAAATTATGATTAAGTTATGATACTATCTTTATAATTGATATAATTCTTTTTCTTGTAATCTGATTAAGTTAAAAATATTGATCAATTTCTGAAATTATCTTTCTATTTTAATATTAATTAATTTTATAAGATCCAACTTAAATTAAATTTATTTATATTACTTCAAATTTTAATTTATTATTCATAGAGAGGGTATTAAAAAATTATTATCATTTTAAGTTTGTATATATATAAATATATTAAAATAATAATAATAATTATATTTATAGTAATTATTCATTTTTATAACTTAAAAAGATTATAATAATTAATTATTTTCTTAATAAGATAATATATATATAAGTTTTATTTCTAATAAAATACTTTCTTAATAGAGCAAAATAAAAATAAAAATAAGATATATAATAAAATATATATATTTATTATAAGAAAAATACTAGCTAATTACTCTTAACTTAGTAATTAACTATTTTTACTAAACTTAATTATTCTTCTTAATCATTTCTTGATTCTTTATATATAATATTTTCTTATTATACTAATTATAAATTATTTTTAATATAATATTCCACCTAATTTACTCAAGAATAAGTAAAATTTCAGAAGAATTATTATAAAAAATATTTTTAAATTAAATATAAAGTAATTAAAAATTAAAATTAGCAAAATATTAAAAATATTATAATTAAAGAAAGAAAAAGAAAATAATTAATAATAACTAATTAGAAAATTATTAATTTAATAAAACTATAAATTAGATATAATATATATAACTAAATAAATAAAAGAATAAAATTAAATATAAATAATAAAATAAATTAAAAATAAGTTTAAAAATAAATTAGATTAATTAATAATAATTACTTATTTATCTGATTTGAAAATAATTAATAATTATATCATATATTGCAGCTATACCATATATTATATTACATGGGGGGATGGGGGAGGTTTCCACTAAGAGGTTATTTACGTCTCAACTAGCTCCAGCTTGCCTTCTAGTATATTGTTCTTTTTTTATTATTATATAGATATTTGATCTTTTTTTGCCTTGAAATATATCTAGAAATCTATATTGCTTTCTTGCTTAGCTGGAGACTCCAAAATCTTAATTTTGATGATGATTAGTTTATATTTTTTGACACATTTTTAATATATTATATAATTATCTAACCTTTAACCATTCTTTAAATATCAAGAAAACATTATAGATTTCTTGCCTAGTTTGAGTCTTGAAAATCTTAAATTGGATAACAAGTTAACTATACTTTGAACAAAAAAATATATTATATAGCTATTTGACCTTTTTTCGTTTTGAAATATATCTAGATAATCTTTTAACTTTCTTGTCTAGTTTGAATCTCCGAAATCTATTATTGCTAGTTGTATGAGGATGCAAAGCACCTGAAAATGTGAAGTGAAGTGGAACATCTAGTTAGCATATTGCTTTCTAATGTTTAGAATTCCATCTCCTCATGATTGAATCATATGAGAAAAAAAGGAAAAATGTAAATAGCTATATAATGCTTTTTCTCTTGAAAATGAATTTTATAATAGTGTTTCAATGTATAATAGCTACCAGCATGTAATTTATATCAATCACAATCTGCCCCAGTAGGTTTTCCACATACAAGACAGGGTTTACGAGGCTTTAACAAATAATGCTCCCAATATCTTTCAGCTCTATGACAAAATCTGTTACATGAAGAGCCATTATTGTGAAGATATCGGCAAGTATAAAGTAGCATTAGTATAAAATATCTTGTATATTATTAATTAATTATTCATTAAATATAACAATTTTTAATTTAGAAAAAAACATAACAAACAAAAAATGATACATTTATTATGACTGAACAAAATATCAATATCAAGCAAAAGATATCGAAAAGGCATTGCTAAATTCAGCAATTCGTCGAAAATTTAAAACTGATATCAAATTCGTTAAAGATCATCTTAGTTATGTAACTAGATTACAGTCGGCAAAAGAACCAGAAAAGTATATTCGATATAAAGCAAGGCAACTCATGCCAGATGAGGTATCATATAATAGAAGAATAGAGTATATTCATGGTCACTATTCAGGAGAATTACGTGAAAGACTTGAAAAATTATATAAGCTTTATTATGAGTTAGCTCAGGAGGAAGAAAAATATGAAATTTCTGAGATAGATGCAAGCGAAATTATTAAGGGTCTTCTCAAATTGTCTACCGAATAACTAATGTTATCTTTGTCTAAATAGGAAGCGATGATCCGTTTATGTAATCTGTGTGACCTATATTGCATGTACGATTTCTCACATATACCACTGATCCCCCTCAATTGATAAAAAAAATTTTTTTTCCGGACCAATACTCGCACAGCACAAATTTTCGTATATAAAGTAGTATACCTACCATGTCTATTTCCAAAACCGAACATGATGCATATTTAGTCGAAAACTGGGATACCGAAACCCTTATCCTTCACCTGCAAGAGCAGGGCCTAAAGCTTGACGATGAGGACTTCGCTATTATCCGCAAAGAAAAGATCGTTGGCCTTGACTTCCTTGACTTGACCGAAGAAAAGTTCCGTAGTTATGGGCTTGCAGGTGGACCAGCAATGAGACTCGCAAAAGAGGCAAATGCTCTCAAGACCTTACCGAAGCGTCCTTTCTCCTCATACCGCAGTTTGAAAGAAGTGTTGGCGAAATATGACCTTAACAACGGGGTGACGAGTATTCCGCAATTTAAACCAGGTAAGTAGCTGATCTTCGTTACAGATTTATTTTTCCTATACTAATCTACGAATCCCTATTAGACATTCACCAATTCGACGATGACGATGAGGAATTCCTTCATTGTGTAAAGGACATAAAAAACAGGTTGAGTAATATGGGAACGGTTGTTGACAGCAACGAAGCAATGCGCTGTGAGTATATATCAGCGATCCTACACGCATCAATCCGTATAGTCAGGCGAATCACCGAAAAAGGTCTTACTATAACTCCACAGTTTGAGATCGTTGGCGAGGAAAGCACTGGTCGTGTCGACTACGCAATCAAGAAAATCATAGATAAAGTGATAGAGGATATAATTTGCGTGACTGAGGGGAAACAATATCAAGTATCTATTGGATATGCTCAAAATCTAATGCAATGCAAAAGTTCTTATCAAACGAATGAAAGAAAACGAAAAGCTGACGAAGCATTTGGGGACTCCTATTACGACTATATCTATGGTATTGTCTCTACCGGTACAGATTGGCACTTTATTTTGTATTCAACGGAAGGTATATTTTGCACAAGCGAAACTGAATATCATATTTCACTTACCAAAGCCGTTCTCGATAATGACACAGATTTACGCAAGGGGGTTAAAAGGGTGATGGAAGTAATCGTTGGTTTGTTAAAAGATAGGGTAATGATTGATAGTACACCTGATGTGAAAAGACGTCGGGTAGAAGAAATCAAAAAGTAATTATGTAGGGAAACATGTATACCGAGCCTTGTTTTCTTAGCTGAAAGTTAAGCAATCAGACCTAAATGATCATTCCTTATTCCGGTATTGTGCGTGGTGTTATTATTGGGATTGTCGTTTAAGACAACGAAGTGAATTACTGCGCCCTTGTGACTGCCACGTCGTGGAAAACCAAATATTGATATATTTTGCTATATGTAATAAAACCGTACTATTTTTTAATGAAACGTACAAAGTGAAAATCATGAATCGCATGCACATAATAGTTAATTCCATCATCTTCATCTACTCCGTGCATCCTATCATAGACCTACGCTTCTTTTTCCGCGAAAGTATATGCTATTCTTCTGAGTAGGACCATCGGCTCTAGGATTATATAAGTCTAACGTCTCTTTGAGACATATTTTCCTTATTTTCATTATGAGGGTATGAATCGTTAAATTATTCATGTCGCCATTAGTGAGGAGAGAAATATGGCGTAGTGTTTCCGCGGTTCAGACCACTGACTGAGCTATGAGACATGAAATAGTTAACAGAATTCACCTCAACTTTTTTGATCGTCGAACTATACTACAAGCATCTACCGATTTCTTTACTGTTCACTTTCTTTCCCACGCTTCTTATTATTCATGATATTATAAAAAAATTATAATTGAATAAAAAATATAGTTTTAAGAAAATATCTAGGTTTAGTATATAACAATGTCATCTAGACAAGCCAATCAAGCAAGCATCCGCAAAGATACACAAGTCAGACTTGCAGAGCTTAAAGGAGTAGCATTGAATTCGATACCCTATCCACGTTCTAATGCTATTTTAACTCAATATCAAGAAGAGATTAGAAATCTCGAAAAGAAAGCCAATTACCAATCAGAAATAGATTCCATTGACAAGTTAGCTGGGCCAGAAAAAGGTCATAAGCCAAGAGAATCAGATCCAGTTCCTACTACATTTGATGAATGGGCAGATAAATATTTATGATTGGGAAAAGAAGATCCGGTTTGACATATAGATGGATCAATTACATGGTTCTCAAGACGTATTCCAAAATTAGCATCCCAGAAAAAGCTAAATAATCATGAAATAGAATATTGGAAACTTTCTCCTAATGTCAATAAATCACATATTACATATGAATATATTAATAAAATTCGTAATCTGATGGATGATGATAAGGAATATATTATTGGAATCATTAATAGTTGGGAAATGGATAGAATGGAAAGACAAATACAATTTGATAATAATAATATACCTATAGATTTAAAAGAGAAATGGGTTTCAGAAGAAAAACATGAATGGAAAATAAAGTCTCATGAATGGATATTATCATTTAATAAATATTCTAATAGAAAAATTAATATACATAAACTTTTAATGATAGATCAAAGAGCATGATTATCTTGGAAAGATGAGGATATACAGTGTGATCCATAAGTATTCGGAATTAAAAAATTACTTATCACACCACAACCAATAACTTAAATCACATGAAATTTATGCATTTCAAAGATTAAGACCAGCTAATTTATTATATTATTTTTAATATGATATACACTTACCATTGCTTTCTATAACAAGCTCACAACGATGTCTCATAGACCTAATTGAATTAATTAGAATAGACTCAGGAATATCCACCCATTCATTTATCATATAATAACGCAGTTTATCTAAATTTTTTGACATACACTTTTTCACATTGTTCTTAACAATATATCAGAGATTTTTGATAGGATTCAAATCAGGATTGTTAGACAGCCAGTCCAAAACTTTAGGCATGATTTCTTCAAGAAATGCTTTGGCAAGACAGCTTATATATTTTGAATTATTATCCTACTGGAACTGCCATTCATCTTCTATCAATTACTCAATTTCTGGAATATACTCATGAAGAATATTGACGTAGAATTTGGCATTCATAATTTCAGAAAAACAAAATAAATTACTTTTACCATTTATACAAAATTCTCCCTACGTAAAAATCTTTCTTTGATCCTTGGGTATACATCATATTGACCATGCTCTCTTATATCAATACTCTATCATATTTCAAAAGAGTTTAAAAGCTATTTCATCTGAAAAGAAAGTATTATCCCAATTATCATCGAGATATTTGTAAGTCTATGCCACACATTTACATTTATGAGTATCAATAAGTATCAGTATTTCTAGTAGGAGTGCTTTTTTATATCTGAGAGTAGCCAAATGTCTTCTAACTATTTGATGAGACATATTTATATCGATTTTTGATAATTTCGTCATCAAGATTCTTGTTGAAATAGATGAATTCCTTCATATATATTGATCCAATATCTTTGATGCTCATGTAGTTATCTTCTTGGGTCTACCTTTACTTCCAGCATATTTATTTGTGTTATATTTTTTAAGTTTATTAATATTATCATATATTATTAAAAGGGATATGTTGGTTATAGTATGGATTTCTTTAGCATCTTGAATGCCCTGATTCCACAATTGTAAAATGAATTGATGGTTGGTTTCTTGCTTAGAAGTCATAATTATATCAAAGTAAAAAAAAAAATAAAAGAAATGGTATCATGAAGAAGTTTCGTAAACAACTCACTTATGACAATTCTTTTCCATTTTAAATTATGAAAATCAGTCTTAATTTGGCAAAGATATGTATATTTTTTTTCTGCAAAAAATTTTCTGGATACTTATGGACCACACTGTAGATCCAAATAAAGATGAAGACTATTATTTAGAAGGACAATCATATGTACTATATTATTAATTTATAACATATTCACGCTAAGATTTATTTGATCCAGATATTCATAAAGATGGAACAATTTGATAACATACTCAATTGCCAGTTCATATTTATCATAATATAGTATTAGAAATTTGGTCATTTCTTTATTATGTTACAGAATATATACTCTTTATTAAAATCTGAAAATCAGATAGATCTGTAGATAAAGAGATCACAGATAAGAACTAGTATTTTGATAAGAAAAAAAAGACTGACAGTCTTACTAGAGAAGAAATTACTTTAGGATAACTTATAGGAATTGATCAATATCTATGAATAAAGATTCATAAATATGTATCACATATTTGTTATAAATTTTAGCACTACAAGATCTATCAGATTTATTCTATAATGATAATATAAATTGTATTATTACAGAATTATAATGATAAATTAAGCAAGAAAAAATAAAGTAAGCTATAGGATTAATGCCAGTCTGTGAAAATGTCCTTAAATTTAATAAAAAAGTTCTGAATCTGGATTATACTTTGAATGACTTGTATGATCTTGAAAAGTTAGAGAAATCTGGAGGTATAGAAATGAAAATAATCATTAAGAATTTCTTAAGAAATAAAATATGGGATAGTGGTAAATATCTCAAACAGTACAAATTAACTGTATTTTGTCATAACAACTATGCATGGATAGAAGATATTTCTGAAATGTCAAAAATATCTTCAGTTTGTGATATGAATTTAAAATATAAAAAAATACTTACTTCTGCATGTATAAAAACTAAAGAGGAAAAAATTAATATTGATGATAAAAAAATTACAAAAGTACTTATATCATTTGTTGCCAGAGAATTTCTGAAAGCTATAAGAGTATGGATTATAGATAAGAAAATTTTAACATATGAAGATTATCTCTATTATAGCTCTTATGAATGAGAAAGATTAATTAAGACTTTTGAATATGAAAAATTGCAATTCATATCTGAAAAACTTTTAAAATAGGATTTGATAAATATTTGTAGATGAAAAGAAGAATATTATTCTATAATATCAATTCCTTCACAAGAGCTTAAAGCAAAATATAATAAACTTGAAAAATTTCTGGAAGATACACAATCTTACCAATTTTATTGTTGGCAAAAAAGAGAAGATATCAAGCTCACACCTAGAAATATTGTTGAAATTTGATGATAATCTCAAGTAGAATTAATGATATGGAACATCCTAATAGATTCACCTCTCTAAATATATTCATATTGATCTTTATAGAATATATCTTGATTGTAAAGATTCAGAATAGAGTGTATTAGAAGTATTATTTTGAGTAAGACAATATGGATTTTCAGAATGAATATAATAATATATCTGTATTGATAATATTAAAGCTATCCATTGCTTGACTAGCATTATTTAGCTAGTAACATGGAAATTTGTTAAAAATCTTTATCTATTCATAACAGAACTTATTGAACAATATCTTACAGAAAAGAAAGACTGAATTCTGATACCTTTTATAGATTACCTGCTTAGTACTGGATGACTCATAAGTGCAACTTCAAGAAAAATCATATATAGTGTAGGTAAAAAATCCTGCATTAAATTTTTACCTGATCATGATATAGCAGTTTATTTTATGAGATCATATACTCATAATACACAAGTTACATCTGTTTTAATTTAAAATAAAAATAAAATAGATATGATTTATCAATGATTAGCAAGAAAAAAGTATTGACCAAATCAAATAAGTAATAAGCATGGAATTCTAATAAAGTATGAGAAGAATAAAAACATGCTCAATAGTTATATATTCACTCTTTTATTCTTGTCTATACTCATATTATTGTACTCAAATAACTAAAATACTTTTCAATTAAAAATGTATTATGAGTATGTACTGATGTAATTTATATAATAGTAATTTCTGAAACTATTTTAGATGAGAGTAAACTTAAGATCAATTTTAATAAAGGACTCTTTGCTAATAAAGTTAGAAAAGATTCAAAAAAGATATAATACAAAAGTAGATAAAATAAAAAAGCAATATGAATCTGTAATAATTTTAGATACTCCAGAAATTAAGTATAGTTAGTAATGCAAGAAAAAGCCAGATTATATCTATTATAAAGAAGCATCATCTTGGACCATTAATTATAAAGGCATATTAGAATTTCCTCTAAGTAAAGTATCATCTCTTTCTACTGATCTAAAATTAATTACATTATGAAAACTATACTTAGTTAGTCAGAGAGAAAGTAGAAAAATAATGCGAGCTATCTGTGTATTTCTTAATTAAAATATTATGATTCTCACTTCAGCAAATTTGCTTGCTAAGTATTATAAAAAGTAAAATTCAGACTTAATGATTATAATATATTATAAGTATTTCCATTTGAATACAATTGTAATTGATGAGTGGGATCCTGCATGTCTTAGAAAGAAAATATTTGCTAAAATACTAATCTTCAATGAAATATATATGATATCTAAAAAAGTATTTCAGAGATTATTATCTTATGTCAAAAGTTGAGGCTATCAAATAATTATGTGTGATAATTTAGGCTAACTTATATCATGAGATGATAAAAAAGATCTATATAAATTTCTTACAAAATAAGTTGATAAAGTAATTTAATATATGGAAAACTATCATATATAAGATGATGAACTCAAGATATTAAAATTGCATATATAGATAAAAAAATGATATTGCTCAATTACAAGAATTTCATAAGACTATACCTAAAATAATATAGAAAAATACTTTTATTTAGTAAACTTTAAATGATATCTGAATTTGTTTTACAAATAATATAAGTATGTGAGTTAAAAGTATATTACTACAAGTACATATATTACACTTTCCCAATGAGCCTTTAGTTATTTATTTCAATTCAGATAATAGTATTAAACATAAGTATTATATTCAAGAAAAGCCTGTACAAATTTCAGATAGTGTTGAAATTATAAAAGTATATATTGATACTATAATAAATATATCACTTGAAATTATATTGTGTAGACTTCTTACTAAATAAAAATATGCTGATTGGAGAACAGTTTATCAAATTTAAAAACAAATAATTGAGATATCAGAATATTATTTTATTATAAACTATAATTTAAGAGATTAGATTAATAATACTGTATATATAACTTGCAGTCATGTATGATACATGAATCAATTAATTTGAGTTATATCATCAAATGATATACTTAAATATATTGAGCTAACTGAGTTTCAGATAACTTCTTACTCACAAATCATTAAAACAAAATTAAGATATTATAAGTTAGATGATCACAAAAAGAATTGGCATTTTTCAAGATCACTTATGATAGTTGAGAAATGAGAGATAGATAATAAATCAGGTTTAATAGAAGATTTTACAATATGTAAGAAACTCCTCTTTCTAATAGAAAATAATGAGAAAAATGTTATTTCTTCACTTATAGTAGAGGATATTATAGAAATTGTAATTCAGCAAGATAAATATTGTAAAGTATATCATATTTTATTTCTATTTCAAGAATATTTCAAATATTATTCACAGTTATTTTCAGTTAATCAGCTTGATAATACTGAAGGATATTATTATCAAAATATAAGAATTACTTGTCTTTATTATAATGAACAGGATCAGTGTTGAATTTTATAGGAAGCAATTATGATCTAATAAAT